AGACTTCGTAGTCAAAGCTACTTGCTTCTTTCTTCAACATTCCTTGAGCACCTATTATGTGTAAAGCATGAAGTTAGGTGCTTTTCTGGAAAATGAAATAAGGCATGCTCTCTCCCTCTGCCTATAACTGTCTACTTAACAAGTATTTCTTGAGCATCTACTATGTGCCAGGCACCAAGCTGGACCTTGTGGAAATACAGACAGCTAAGCATGCTCTTTCCCTTCGAAGAGCATCTGGTGTATTTAAAAAAAAAAAAAAATGGTTATTTACAAGCCTGTACTCATCCTGATTTTGGATCAGGTCAAAATACAGTTAGAGGAGATTATAACTACTTACTCCCAGACACAGAGCTGAGTTTACCTTTGTGTTACTGGACAGAAGACAAAATCTGCAGAGAATCCAGATCCTGTGAGAACCAGGGAATCAAGGCAGGGGTGAGCCTTTAGTGGTCATATTGCACATCCGATTTCATTCATACCAACTCAACCCTCAGGATCCTGAAGGGACAGAACTCCAGCCACTGGCTATTTAGCACCTTGCACAGAGCCCAATAAAAAGTAGGCAATTAGCGAATCTCTGATAAATTAAAGAAAAAGTTTCTAATGCCTGAGTCAAGGATGTATGCTCAGAATTAGAGAGACCTTAAATGTTTTATATATACTGCTGTCAAGTCAGTGATTTTTTAAAAAAATTACAGAAAAGGAAGCTAGCAATCGAGTTCAATAATCACTGCTTATAGCATCATTGGATGTCCCGTGTGTCCAGGCCCCAGCCACAAACTCATGGGAAGAGGCCAACTATGAATTTTCCCCTGGCATGAGACAGAACATAAACTTACATTGTTGACACATGTGCTTTGTTCTGTTTGTCAAACTCTGTGTCCGTGTGGGGAGCAATTTCTCCCGCTGAAGTATGCCCAGTATTCATTCTCCCCTGACCAACTCAACCTCCAGCCTACTTAAGCTTTGTTCGAAAGGCTAAACATAGAGAAGATTCTCTACATACAGTGCTTCCTAATACAACTGAGATTTGCAAAATGCAGCACAGAAAAGGCCATTATGCGTCAAGACTATGGGATTTCCTAGTAAGCTGTTGCCACCCCGCTACAATCCACTACAGCAGAAAGTATCTCCAGAAGAAAGCATTTGGAGCTCTCATTGGATTGGAGGAGAGTCTGGAGAGAAATACCCAGGTCACTCACTCTATGCCCATCCTTGGGGCTCATGCTGAGAGAGTATGTTACAGGAAAGACCACATAATGAAGTCAGTTTGGTTCAAGTGGCCGAGTGGCCACTTTCGTGCACAGAAGTGAACTCTATTTATGACACTGTCACTACCTTTCTAAGAAGCAACACAGCGGGTGAATTTAAGAGTGAGTCAAAGCTCAAGGACAGACTTAACATCTGCTTTCCAGCCTCCCCACCGAGGAAGAGAGAATTTAGTAAGTAGTGGGTTCAAATGAAAATGAGCACAAGTGATAACTTTAAAACAAAAACATCTCTCACTTTCTTGGGGAAACTTTCCTTTTGATTAGTCTCACCGAGGGCCAAGACCATTTGGACACTGAAACCACATCAACCTGTCTTATTTCTTATTCACCTGTCATTCTCAAGCCCACCTGTGTTCAGGCCTAGCCTCCTAATTTGGAATTTCTTTGGGGAAACGCTTGTCTGCACTAACCAGGTGATTTTCCTTCAATTAACTTTGTTATTCAAAACTCATCTAAAACCAGGTTTGCATATGCAAAGAAATAAAAGGCAGAATGAACTGTGGTTCTTTCACATCTTGTTTCCCTCAACACTGCTGTCCTCATCGAACTGCCTTAAATCTTGAACATGACACTCAAACTAAGAATCCACACTTCTTTCCTGCAGTATTTTTGTTTCCTAACCAGCAGTACTTGTTGGTTGGTCCTCTTCTTATAATTATGCCCTAAATTGGGGCAGGGGTGACCCAGAGACTCTGTGGGGTCCATCATGCTAAGTAAGTGTGACTTTGCAGGTAGAGAAGGTTGCCTTGGCAGCAACAGGTAAGGAAGGACCCAGATCCTGCCTTACCTGCCCAGGAGGAGGGTTGGACACACACTTCAACGCCTCCAGAGAAGGACTGTTCAGCACCTAAAATGAGCATGGAGAGCCTGTCCCACGTGGCATTACAGCAAGAGGTTTCTCAGGAACATGAACGGGAGATTACAAAGGACAATATCTCAGACAGATAAGCTACTGCCAAACATTCAAAACAGGATCATGGGAAAGCCAAGTGATTCTTAACATCTATTTTTTTTTTCCTCCAGGTCAATGAGTTTTGTAAAACAGGATGATAAACAGGACACTAGGCAAACCAGAAAATCATTCTCCGTTCTTCCATAATTGCCCAAGAAAGCAGATGCATCTGTCTCTGTCGCCACACTGTGTAAGTGAAAAGGAACACTGCCCTGCATGAAACAAACCCCTTTCTCTGGAGTTCTGAGTGTATATAACACACTTAATGAGGCTGATCCTCAGAACTAGGATCCACTGAATGGATGAGCCCACAGGAAGAAATCAAGTTGGCCTTGTATGTTGCTAGAAGACCTTCCCCATTTTTCCATTTTGGAAACTGACATCGGCCTGCCATGATTACCAGTGTGTACTGGGATTGGTACTGGATAGATTATGGGCTGTGTTCTCACTAACGCTCTGGTTTACCAACACCCTCGCCTGCTGGGTTTGAAGACTCTGGGGTTCCTGGCACCCTCCTCAGAGGCATTCAGTAAGTACTGAGTTCCAGAATTAAAAGTCACTCTAGAGTTCCAAGACTGCCCTCTTATATCCTTACAGGGAAGAGAAGTGAGGATGCGAAAGATAATGTCGTTAATGTCTGAAAAATGAAAATGCATCCCCAAATGAACATATATACTAGTTTGATTTATTTTAAGTAGTACAAGATGCCCTTTTCTTTTTTCTGTGTTCTTTTAGGCTAATTATATTTCCTAGATTTTTTTCCCAAAAGTCCCGAAAATAAGAACTTTGGGGTTTTTTGTTCTGTTTGTTTTTCAAGAGCTGAAATCCAGAACCTCCAAGATTCCTACTTAGTTTGAGCTGTATATAATCTCACGGTTTTATCATAACAAACTGGGCCAAAAAATTCTGATCTCAACCCAGATGCTAATTAAAACCCACCTGAGTCATGTTGCTATGGTTGCTGGGATTTCTCCAAGCCCTATGATTCTCAAAGAATTAAGTTTTAGTTACTTTTCCAAGGCTCAGGTGGTGTTCCTATAGGGACTGGGCCATGCCATTCCAGACAGAGGGGGTGGGTGTCATTGTCATAATCAACAGCTCAGGTGGCTTTTGCCTACATCATAACTAACCTCTGCATTGGCTTCTGCATTGGCATCTCATTACAGCCTTTCAATAACAGGGTGCTAGCAAGGTGTTATTATCATCCCATTTTAGAGAAGAGTAACGTGGAGACTCAGTCATAGCAAGTGGCTAGCTCAAGGTTGCTCGGCCAGTAAGTGAAAGAGATGGACGAGAACTTGGTTTTCTAGAACCAAAGCCTGTACTTTCCACTAAGCTGCCCAGGACAGAGGCAGACAAAGGCAGTGCTGATGCTTCTCTCCCAGGCCCTGCTCAACTCTTGTGCCTGTTGATGTCCTGCATGTTCAGGAGCACAGACTTAGGAGCTTGGCTTCCAAGTCTGGCTGTAACCTTAGGCAGGTTATTTCCACTGTCTACCTCTTTTCTGTCATCTGTAAATTGAGGCTGGTAATTCCTACCTCCTAGGACTGTTGTGAGGATTAAATGAGTTAATATGTCTGGAGCCTTTAAACGCATGCCTGGTCCCATAGTAAGTACCATATAAACGGGAGCTTGTCTTAGTTGCTGAAGCCTCCATTCATTCTGGGATTTAAAACTGTAGACAAAGAGAGTCTACAATCACCTGAGGACCTGGAAAATGTCTATTCCACAGGGTGGGTGGCCAATGCAATACCAGAACAAAGCAGTGGTCACGGGAGCAAGCCCATGTTAGATCACATCACCGCCTGAGAAGCCTTGATGTTCAAAGTTAAGTGTCACGGCTGCTTCTCTCTGTGGTCAATTCCCTTGTTTCTGACATCAGCCTAGAGGCACATTAGCTGAAACAGAGCCGCTGAAATGACATGACTAGAGAAGGTCTGTTGGGAAGGACTGTCATTTTTTGAAAAACAGCAGGTTTCTCCTTTCCCTAATAGGAATCAGTTTTGCTCTCATCCAGAGAAATTTTTTTTTCCCAGAATTTAAATTCCATGCACAACTCACCCAATAGCTTAGAAAAAGGCATTTATTTTTCTTGAGCCTTTGAAAGGTACTTTAAACTGGCAGGAGATAGAGGTGCAGCAGTGGAGAAAGCTGTGAGTTTCAGCATGCTAACATGAAACTATATATTTTTTCTTGAAAAACCCACATCTGAGGGTTCCTAACCACTCACAAAGCTTCCTCTTTTCTGCTTTTGGTCCCAAGGTCTAAGCACCATCGTTTACTGGTAACAAATAATTCACTGAGCACACATTTGGCACTGCCTGTTTGTCTCCCCAAGTTCTGTAGCATACCCGCCTTTTGCCCTCTTTTGCATGTTTAAATAAATGAAAATTTGGGGGGTTTCCTTCAAAGCCTGCTGAAGACACCAGAGATGGGGGCAAAAATAAACAAACAAACAAATAAACAAATAAATAAATAAATAAAAAGTACCAGATAATAAAAATATGGACACCAAAAAAGAGAGACAGCTTGGGGGCGCTTCTTGGAAAGATTCATTCCAAATAGCCAATCCCAAGCAGGCTTGTTTGCTGAGCACCAATGAGCTCAGGGCTACACCGGGACTCCCAGAAATTTACATAAAGACACCAGGGCCCTGGGGCAGACGCTGGGGTCTGGAACCTGGGCCTGAAGGCCTTTGGGAGAGACAGCAAAGGCAAAGGTTTGTGGAAGAGCCCTTTGCCCTTCGAACAGAGTTGCACACAGACCAGGATACTCACCTGGATTTTGGAGGTGGGGGCGGAGGTGAGAATGTCTCAATCCCACTTCTGTCCTTGGGGAACTCAAAGGCAAAAGAGGCCGATTTGCTCATCCCGGTGCCCACTTTACTGTTCTGCCCAGAGGAGCCGTCAGTGAGGTGGAGACGGTGCCAGGTTGTGGAGTGGGAATGGTCCATGGTGCCATTTTTCATCTCTCTTCCCCAGCTTTGACTCAGCAATTCCTGCTCCACCTCCTCCTCCTCCTCTATCCGGCACTGACGACTCCAGGTGCCCGTCTGGAACCTGGGCCGCCTCTGGTCCAAGGTGGAAGAGGAGGAGGCAGAAGCAGGCGGGGGACAGCGGGCAGGGTCACCGTTGGTCCGGCAGGAAGAAGCAGGGTCAGTGGGGCCTCTGGATGCAGGCTGGGGCCCAACGCCACCACCACCACCACCAGAGCTCCCCTCACTGAGGTCAGCCAGTGGGGAGGCAGAGGGTGACACCGGGGACCCTCCAGGGCTGCTCTTGGACAGCTTGGGGGGAATGGCGGGCCTGCCCTTGGGTGTGTTCCTGCTGGCATCCTGAGCACGGCTTTCCCTGGAGCTCAGCCCTTGCCTAGCCGAAGTCTCCTCTTGACCCACCTCGGAGTCCTGGCTCACAGGCCCGCGTGGCCACTGCACCCCCACCGCAGAGTCCGGGCTGCTCAGGTAGATGGTCCGATGGTCCTCCTCTGGGTGGGCCGCCATGACAGTGATGGTGGTCGCCACCTGGGGAGCTGGGTCTGGGCTATCCCGGCCCCAGCCAGGTGCTGTTTTCTGAGACCATACGCTGTTACCTGTACGGCCCTGGCCCTGGGCCTGGGCAGCTGGTGCTTGTTCTGCTTTAGCCTGTGGCCTAGAAGGCACCGGAACTGCCTTCTTCCTCTTGGTGCTCTCAGCATAGATGGGTTCAGGCTGTGCAGCCTCCCTGGGGTGGGCTGGGGGCGGGGGCTCTCCTGCCAGCCCAAGGCATCTGCTAGAGGTCACTCCGTGGCAGCCAGCGTCCTGCTGCTTCCCTGGCGTGGGTTCCTTCATGAGAGAGCAGTAATCGCTCTCCAGGTGGGGGGCACAGGGGCTGCTGGCCCGGCTGCTGCCACTGCCGCAGGAGAGGCCATCGGAAGAAGTGGCAGCCTCCAAAGTGAGAGACGGCTTCTTGGGGCCCAAGCAGGTTGGGTTGGCAGGCTGGCCCTGGCTACAGCACTCCCTGGGGAAGCTCAGAACCCTCTTCTTGTCCTCAGCGGGCCGGGCACACGTTCCCGGTTCCCAGCATGTCGGCGAGCAGTCCCCTCCGCCACGTCTGCCCCGGTGGCCCTCTGCCTGGGAGGCGTCCTTGGCAACGGGGCTCCCGGGGCAATAGTCCAGGATGGAGCAGTACTCTCCGCCTTCGCTGTCTCCGGAGGGTGAGCACCTTTGATCACTGTCATCCTCTGAGGGCAGCGACTCCCGTAAGGGCTGAGAGGGGCCCTTGTGACAGCCAGATGTTGTCCCAGCAAAAGCAGCCAGTTTCTGGCGGAAGCTTTCCTGAGCGGAGGGCAGGTCTTGGTAGGGAACTGAAGGTTTATCTTCTCGCCTGCCCTTATCATCCGGGAAGTTCACTGGGTGGAAGGCCATGCTCCTTTCCCCCCGGGCATCGAGGTTGTGCAGGCCGACCATGGCATAGGCCGGGGGACAGCGCGCGCTGCCGTCGGCGGAGGCCGAGGGACCAGCGGGCTTCTGCACGCTGCGGAAACTGCCCAGGTAGACTATGGGCACGTCCTCCTGCTTCGGGAGGGGGAGCTTGCCGGGGGCTTGTCTCCAGATGACCTGCACAGCCCCAAGGTGAAAAGACTTACATTAGACCTTGTCAGAGAAAAAAGCAAGAGAGAGAAAGTGAGAGGGCAGGGCGACGACATCGGAGACTGTCTTCTGTAGTGCGGGGCAGGCGCCGCACACGCCCACCCTCTGATCTCCCCACGCCTGTGATCACGGCTGGGGCCCTCACGGGGCCATTTGTCTTGCCAGAGACTGAGCTGCGCTTCCCACCCGTGGTTTGTAACACTTTTCGCTTAAGTCTGCGAGGTAGAAAAAGAAAAAAACAACTCTAAAAAAGAACATTTTGCCTTCTCCCTCGCTTGCAACTACCAGGTGGAATATGCTTTCCTACAGGCATGGAAAATAGAATTTGGGGTTTTGTTTAATTTTTCCTTTGTGTTTGTGGGTTTTGTGATGACCCTGTCACAGAACATTCCTGAAGAGATCAAAGTCATAGGGTTTCTAAAACACCTTGGGGGTGGTGGGGCTAGGTAGGGCAGGAGGGCTAGGGGTGGATAGGGCTTCCTTGCTTTTTTCTGGGCTTTGGTTCAGGTCAGGCCAAAGAGCCACTCTTTCTCCCAGTTGCGGCGGTGACCTCAGCCTGTGCAAGTGGCTGGACTAGTTGGGCTATGACGGGATAGAGAGGTGTCCTGGTCATTACCATCACTCGGAAGTCACTGTTCCCTCCTCCTTCTCCTCTGAAGTCCTCCCTACCCCCACGTTTAGAAGTAGCCTCAAAGTACGGCTTGCCTCTGGCTCCTCTCCCAGATGGTTCTGGAAGAGTCCCTGGCTCACGTGGGTGAAAGTTAAAGGTGTTCAGAATGGCCTGGGAATAGGTGTAGCCAGCGGAGCAGCCCCGAAGGGGACACTGAGCTCACTGTGAACACAACAAATGTCCCTCCTCAATGAGGGAGTCCCTCCTCCCCTGAGTTAAAACTGGCCTCTGTTTTCACATATGCCCACACAGCCTTCCTGAGCCACTCATCACATTGGTTGAGAAAAACTAGAACAGGCAAAGAGGTCAAACAGGAAGCAAGCAGTTCCTAGAATATGTCTTAGCCATACAGCTTCCTAGACGTGTCTGAAGGCAGCAGATGCCAGCAGCCCTAGGCTACGTGTCCTCTAAATCTGTGGTCCCCAACCCCCAGCCTGCAGACCAGTCCAAGCCACAGAGCTCCACCGCCCCTACCCCCACCCTAGTTCATGAAAAAATTGTCTTCCATGAAACCAGTCTCTGGTGCCAAAAAGGTTGGGGACCACTGATCTAAATAATTATACCTTTCTAAGGGTTACCTATGGGATGAACAGAATGGTCTAGCCTCTAGGGATGCAACTGCTTTAGTGATTCTAAATCTAAGGGGGTAAAATCTGAGCTTCAAAAAAATTGGAAATATGAACACTGGCTGGGTATGGGATGATATTAAGAAATTATCGGTAATATTTTTAAGCACGATAATGGTACTGCGGTTATATTTTTATAAAGATTTTGTCTTTTAAAGACATGTACTGAAATGATGTGATATCTGGGGTTTGCTCTGAAATCACAGGGAAGGGGCAGGTAGATGGGGAAGAGATGAAACGACATTGATCGTAAGTTGATGGCCGTTGGAAGTCCATGTTGAAGGATACTGGGTGCACAGGATTCATTATGCAGTTATTGCTACTTGTGTGTGTATTTAAAGTTATGATGGAAATTTTTTTAAAACTGTTTTTAAAAAAGCTTCATTTTTATCTGCTCCATGCAGTCTCCACAAATCACAGGAGGAAGTGTTGAGGGGCTGCATAAATGGTTCTTAGCCAAAAGGGACAGAGAGAAAGGAGGGCAGCTACAGCAAATCCCAGCAGTCTGGCAAGAGCAATCCCGGGGCATGCTGAAAGAAAGCCATCCTGCAGGATTCTTGCTAAAACAGCCCTCCCTGGCTGGCTGCCAGTCACCAAGTGTTACAACAGGAACAGCCCCTGTGAAAATACCACAGGGGTTAGTCAGCCTCACCTGTGAGACTTCGGCACTGAGGTTGGCCTCTGTCCACACATCAGAGGCTTCGGAGCTCATCATGGTGGGCTTCACGGCGATGGTGGGCTTGGAGTAGGGTGAGCTGTTCACACCTTCATCTTCCAGGCGGCAGTGCTCAGGCCTGGGGGGCAGGCGCGGTGGAGGGGGCAGGCTGCCGGCTCGGGGCTGGGGATGGCTGGCCACCAGCTGGTGGTCACTCCGCAGGCAGAAGCAGTTCTTGCAGGACCCGGGCTTCCAGATGTGCTCCACAAAGTCGCTGCACGCAGACATTTTCGGGCTCTCGGGGTTCAGTTGGAGGGTCTGGTGCATCTTGAGCCGACAGTGTGCTGGTTCATCTTGCGCCCAGCTCTCTGGTGTGGTCTTGCAGGAGGCAGAGGTGGGTAGCAGGGTGGCTTCCTGGAAAGACAGGACACTTTCCTGATTAGAGACCTGCCCTGTTGCGGGATGGGTATATTCTCATTAGAGTCTGATTATTTGATCGAGGAAGAAAAAGGGGAGACAGGACATAAGGAGGGAAAAAAAAAGTAAAGATTAGGATTCCATTTATTCTAGGGCCGTCACCCATTTGTCACAAGGCTCTCAGACACTCTCTAGTGGTGTGGCCTTATCTGAAGCTCTAAAAACTAAACACCACCCTGTTGTGTGAAAAGAGTGCATAAAAGACATTTCAGTCCCCTAAATCCTGGGTGCTAGGAGGTTTGGTCAGTTATGGGAGGACATCACATAGGGCTTGAGATGAGAAGCCTGTCCTTCATCCATGTATTCCCTGACACTAGGGGTCTAGAGCCTGAGACACCGCCATCCCCCACCCCCTGCCCCGAGAAACAAGAACTGTGACATAATACAGCAAATAAAAATAATGGCTTCCAGAAGATAACCCACAATTTTTGACCAAGAAATGTATGAGATGGGCAGCAGCTCTGGGCCCTGAAATGGGCATGGTAATCCATACTTCCAACCAGGTGGAGATGGGATTAGTTGAGAAAGGGGAGAATTGGGGTGCTGGCCTGTGCTCACCCCGGCCCAGGAACCTTGCGGAGAGGTCTGGCATCTTGGGAATGTTCCTGCTACCCTTGGATAATATACATTATTCCATCCTGTGCTTAATGAGGTCAACAAAGCTGGGTGCCGCAGGCCAAAGGGGAAAAGAGTAGGAAGAGAAAGGCCATGGTCCTGGTCAAAGGGTGGCTGGATAGATTCTAAGAGAAAGAAGAGATTATCAAGTAGCTATTTCCCTAGGATAGTTCTAAAGAGAAGGTGATCAGCTTGCTCAAAGAGTTCATGGCTTCTGAGAGTAAAACTGCAAGCAAACAGTATGCACCATACTCCCTTGTGAATTCAGCACCCAGGAGCTCGAAGGGTTGCAGACATTAACCGATTCCTTGGAATAACGTCCAATCTAACTGCTATCCCAATTTTACAGGTGGGGAAACTATGGCAGAGACAAGAACTGAGGGCTGTCCATAGACACAGAGAGTCGGTGGTTCTGAAAAGAGAAGCCAACTTTGCTAGCAGCTCCTCAACTCACCGCAGTGTTCATGAGACTGAGTAGCATGCCATGATCTGCCTGCTGCTGCTCATGGCTCTTCCTACCCTTCTAAAAGAGATCTGACTTCCTATAAGAAGGGTGTTCCAGAGAAAATCTTCCATAAGACCCCAAGCTCAATGGATTCTCTAGGGTTTGGTCTCCACGCTCCTCCTGTGAGAATTAGCTTGGGGTTGATGCTCTCTAAACTACCAACAGGACTAACCAGGTAGAATGAGCCAGGCAGCCCAAAGATCATCCCAGAGTCTTCGTGTCAAGTGCTATCTTTCTTGTCTCCCACACTCACAGAAAAGGGTGCTTATCCAACAAGTGCTGAAGCTAACTGTGCCTCTTCTCCCTCCCAAATTAAGGATGAAGCCCACTGCATCTTTAAACTAAATGAATCCTCTGAAGAAAAGAAAAAGTATTTGTCTTTCAGCAATCATCGTTAGGGCCTTCCACATCCCTTTCTTTGAGACGATTGTCAGTTAGATTCTTCTCTGAATATAGCCAAGTAGCAGGCTCGCCCCTTGCCAAGTTCTCCAGAAGAGGTCACTGGGCTTCAACAAGCATGGGAAGCACAGCCACGTTTTGTCTTTCTCTTATAATCTCAGGCCACAGGGAGCGGTAAGCTTGCTGCTAAATTTTGGAAAGGGGAAAAAATGGAGGAAATATTTTAGCTTTGAGGGGTGGAGAGTAGGCCCCTTCCTCCATGGCTGATGGGTGAAGGCTGTTTAGGCCTTCTTGGCCACAGAAAAGACACTATAGGGCCCACCTCTAAAGCAGGCGGGGCTCCCACGTCCCCTCAGTAGGATGTGAGAAGACAGCTTGGAAACCAGCTCTGTGTGGGCACCTCAAGTTCCTGACAGCCCCTCCTGAGGCTGGGCTATCTGAGGAGGTAGGCGTCCGACGACTTTCTCCGGAGGCTACCACAGATTCACAAAGAAGCAGTTTTGGGTGGCTGCATCTCATTTTCTCAACAGGAAACTAAGAACACAAACTTGCCATGAAGGTGTCGTGTGGTGCCAGAGACCCCACTTTCTACGATCCGCACCTCAGAACAGCCCTGGGAGGTTGGTAGTTCTGAATTACTAACATGGGGAAGGAAGCTTCCATGAGAACACCTCACCAGTTTACGAGCGCTTGCTTTGCTTCCATCCTCAGCTCTTAAATTCTCAGATGATTAGACACGACTTTCACCACACAACTGCCAGGGACCAGGGACAGGAGGTTTTGAAGGGGCAGTCCTTGAATAAGAAAACACAATGAAGCCCTGGGCTTCCCACTGTCATTGACTCACTGCATCCTGTTAAAACTGGTTTCTCAGTCGCAGCAAACAGAATTTACCACCATGTCCAGCCAAATAAAAAAAGACTCTTTTTCCAGTTGCGCTTCTGTGCCTGGAACTATCTCCTATTTATTTTAGGTAAAAGATGGTGAAAAACGCAAGTGGCACCCAGAAAGCAGAAGCCTGGCCTCGCCTAGCTCAGCGGTGCCAGCTCTCCACAGCCTAGGAATGGCACTTCCCAGCCCACATTCCTTACCTCCAAGGGGAGGCGGCCCCCAGAATTATGCAAATCCCCCCATTTCAGTGGGAGGCTGCAGTGTCAGATTAGAAAAAGATCTTAACATTCTTTCTGATCCAAGTCATGATAAAATGTCTTTGCCTCTGCAAACTCCTGCACTGGATTTGTGGCTACAATTTGCAAGACTGAAACTGTCAGATACACTCCCACCTGGTTTCAAAAAGAATCTGACAAATCGGGGTGGCCAGATCCATAAAATGAAATATTTCTGGCTCAAAATGCCCCTCATACTAGCATCAGAAGTTGCTTATGTCTTACCCTGAAATGGCAGAATTCCTGAAAATACTCATCTGAAAATATTCTATATATTATCATTGAATTAATACAACAGCAGAAAAAGGAAATATGTATGAAAATTGTCCGGATTTCAGCACACTCCACTGCCTGGAGTTGACCAAGCAGAAAGGATTAAGTGACAACCTTAACACCCCCCAGAACTCACAAGCACACACAGAGGCTAAATTATATTTACGCAACTTTTCCTTTTCTTTTTTCTTTCTCCAATACCGTGTAATCTAATCTCTGCAAGAGGAATGTGGTTTTGCACCCAATACAATCTAACCAATAGGGAGGATACCCAAGTTTCAAAGGAACCCAGGATAGCAAAATAACTGTAGCATTCCCTAGGGCTTCCTGTCAAATTTCCTTCTCCAGGAGGGAAGGGCAGAGAGGTTGCTAATGATAGTTCAGGCCAGTGATCAGTGAAACCTTCTGAACCTGACTCTGGACCGAATGCATTGCAAAACTCCTCGCCCCTAGACCTTTGGGCTTTGCTATCGGTTCTGCAAAACCATGTGCTGGCTGGCTGGGCTTACCTGAGAGAAATGTACACACAGGGAACCGACGCCGTGTGCTTCATTCCCGGTGGAGAGGTCCTATGTGGTGTGTGTGTGTGTGTGTGTGTGTTTGTGTGTGTGTTTGTGTGTGCCCCTGGATGGGGAGAGGGCTGCAAGAGCAAAGGATAAGAATGTGCTCACAGTATGCATTTCAGATCTCAGCCATGGCTCAGGAAAAGGGCATCACCTCGTTCCCTCTTGAGACCCGTTGCTGCCTAGGTGGGAGCTACCCTGGGCCCCCAAGCCATCGCCCCCGTCCTGGCGCGAGCGGCCAGGCGGCCTCCCCTCTCTGCTCCTGGGACAATACTCTCGGATCAAAGCCGTCCCCAAAGCGCGACAGCCTCTCGCCGCGAACAGAGCAGCAAGACCAGCGAAACCATCGCAGCAGTCGGGTCCCCCTCCCGGAACTCGAAGGAAAGTTTCCCCGATTTAAAGAGCGCGATTCTCGAATGAATCGCAAACACCCTCCGGGCCCCCGCTCCACCCGGCGCGGCGCCCCCACCTCGGCGGCACCCCGGGCGCACGCGGTGCGGACGCCGCGCTCTCCCCGGGCGGCCGCCTGTCACCCCGGGGACGCCGATCCGCGGGTCGCCCGCCTGGCGATCGCAGCGCTCCCAGAAGGCTCCCCTGAGCGGCCACATTTGCCAGACAAAAAGCGGCGGAATTGGGAGAAAGCGTCGCCGGCTCACCTCGGGGCTGCGCTCCCCCGGCCCCGCCGTCGGTCGCCTCGCCGCCGGCAGCCCGGCCCGGAGCCGCGGAGCATTGTTTGGAGAATGTCTGCGCGGTGCGAGCGCTGCCGCGGGCGGGTGTCGTCTGCCCGGGCCCGGCGGCCGGGTGGCAGCTGCGAGCGCGGCTCCGCCCCCTCCGCCTCTGGTGACGCCGCCCGCCCCGCGCCCGCCCCGCGCCCGCCGCACCTCCGCAGTCCCCGCGCCGCCCGGCCGCTCGGCTCTCGCCGCCGCTCCCGCCCCGCGGGCTCCGGCTCCCGGGCCGACTCCGAACTCCCCGTCCCGGCCCTGCCCCCTCCCGCGCCACCTCCCTCCCTCTCCCGACGCGGACGCTCCGCCCCTGGCCCCGGCCTTGGCGCGGGCGGACCCCTGCCCAGCACCCACTTGCACCCCCTGCCCGGAGGGGGACCCGCGCGTGCCTGCGGGGCGAGCTCCGGAGTGGCAGGCTCCTTCCGCCACGATGCACGTGCAGGTACGGGCGCCTTGCAGCACTTCTGGAGCCGGCCCTGCAGGACCCTGGGGAGGGAGAAGGAGGAGGAAACGAGGAAGTGAGGGTCGGGAGTGGAATAACCAGTTCGGGGTCCTCCGAAGTGGGCTCCGAAAGCGACAGGAGCACCCGGGTTGTCAGTTCCTGCAACCTTTGGGTGGAGGGTGGCGCGGGAGGGAGCAGGGTTGGGAATCCCAACAGCAGGTTCCCCGTCCCGCTCAGTCCCCGGA